ACATGTGCGCGCGCGCGCGTGTGTATGTGTGTGTGTGTGTGTGTGTGTGTGTGTGTGTGTGTGTGTGTGTGTGTGTGTGTGTGTGTGTATGTATGAACATATACACGTATGTATATAATATTCTTAAAAGATATTCATAATAAAAAACAAAGCTTCAGCTACCTCCTTTCTGCAATTCAAAAGTCTGAAGGCTTCAGAAATGGCAGAGCCTAATGCAAATAAATTATGACATGGAAAAGAAATCACACATTTTATATGAATTAAAATACCTAAAATACCTAAAAGTTTAACCAGCCCCCGGCATTGTTACCAATAGGCTCTTATTTAAAAAAAACTATTAATAATTTTGTCACCTTTCCCCGTTGGTGGCCAGCACTAGAGATAAGAAAAATGCTGAGGTCAGAAGTGAACATTTAGGAAGTGGAAGAGAGAGAGAGAAAGAGAGTGAGTTTATTTGTGAGTGTGTATGTATTATGCATGCATGCATAATATAAATCCATGTAAACATATAGAAAGAGAGCAAAATACATAATGGAGCACTGATCTCCAACAGGAAATGATGGCTCGTGAGTACACCGTGTTGGAGCAAGCGAAGGAGGAAGCCAAGAGTTCTGCCAGTCGAAAAGAGGTTCTTGAAGTGACGTTCCTCTTCTTGGTTCTGTGCCTGGAGTTCGACCCGCAGGTGAATTCTTCCGACTACCCTGACGATCGCTGGAGGACTGTCCTCTCCTGGGTACTCTCGCTTCACTCTCTCGACACCGAGAGATACAAAGACAAAGCGGCGTGGATAAAAGAGATGATTGACACTTTTAGGGAAATATGGCGAGAGCTGCACTCGTATCATGAGGAGAATAATCCTAGTTGTTACAAATACCATCTGGAATTAGTTGGAAAGTTGCATTCCAGGTTCTGGAAAGACCTTGATGAAATTAGTGAACTTTTTTGTGACACTGATAACACGCAAGAAAATTATATTTGTGAACTATTGAAGAGAGCCATTATCAAGTCATGTGAGAAAAATATGCCTCTGTTCTTACACCTGCTGTCATGCGTGGCTGGCGTCAAATTTAGTGAGAGGATTGACGCAGTGTGTGGAGGATTCCCGCTTCACTGCGCAGCCCTTCACAATAACGTGTCTGCAGCCAGGTACATTCGGAGCAAAGGAGCCTCACCTGGAGTACAGGACCGCTTCGGCAACACACCCGCCCACTACGCGTACATGTTCGGGCACCAAGAGGTTGGGGACTTCTTAAAAACTGACTTGGCTAACAACAATGGCCTTCCTGCTGAATATATGCTTGAAGGATACAACCATTACCTGAAACTGTATAAAATGGACTTAAAGGAATTACAGAAAAGAAAAATGCAAAGAGATATTACTGCCTCTCAAATCATACAAGAACATCTACAAACTCTAAAGAGAAAGTGGAAGGAATATGGCATAGATCAAGCTATCAAAGAATGTCACGTAGATTTTACAAGTGGCGAAACCCGTGAAATAAAAAAATCAGTTTCAGAGTTCATACAGCAGTTGATACTTTCAATTACTACAGTAAATTCAATGTACAAAGGTGATTTACACATGTTAGGGAGTTCTGGGGATAATGTTCGGTTATTTTGCCCAGATGAGTTTGACTTTAATATCATCCTACAAAATAGACACATATATTTTCCTGTAAAATGGAAAGGAAACTTAAGAGATGGATCTGTGAAAGGTGATAAACTTTCAAATGAACTGTTGCTGGACCATTTCTGTTGCACAGTGAAACAGTGTCTTGTGCACTGCAAGCCTGTAGACAAGCGACTGGCCATTGTTCTGCCGGGAGTGAAGAAGACTCAGGTGGGAGTAGCGCTCAGCCTCGTCTGGACAGGTAAGGTGTTCCCTCTCCTCCTGGTGGATGTTGATGTTGTGGCCACTGTTAGGGCCAGTTGGCCACCGGCACTCAGGAGGCCAAAGCTCATGCCCTCCACCTTTGACTCTGTGTATTTGAATAGCATTGGCAACAATGAATGGAGGTTCTCTTTCGCACTGGCAGAAAATGCAGTCATGAAAGAATTGACGGCTGACAAACGCAGGGTATTTCTGGCCTGCAAGCTGGTGCTGAGTGCTCTGAAAGTGGAGAAGTGGGCACCGGGACACATCCAGAACCAATTCAAATATTTCCATGGAAGTGGAGAAGTGGGCACCGAGACACATCCATAACCAATTCAAATATTTCCATGGAAGATTCTTCAAGATTCCCTCGCCAAAGGGTTTCCTTCTGAAGAATACCTTCTTCCTGGAGCTGGAGGAGGTGACAGACGAGGAGCAGTGGACGGAGGAGCATTTAGTGGAGAGGATGACCTCGATATTCCGGAGGATGTGCGAGGAATACACTGATCCCGCCTCGCAAGTGACTAGCTGGGAACCGGCAGCGGTAAAGGCGTACTTCGCTGGCCCGACGCAAGATCCATGTGTCGGCTTCGGAGCGTCGGAAATTCTCAAGTTTCTGAAATCAATGAACTCTGAGACTTGAAGAGGGTCCTCCCTCATCAGGTATCAGTACACTCTCAGGGAAAAGAAGTATATAACAAAAAAAGGGACTCCTTGGATGGCAGGGAAGCATTTTGTAAACATATGAGTCTCTCAAGTTCATAACCACAGTCAGCCAGTAACAAATGTGATGTCACATCAACCAAGTGCCTCTAGAGCTTGCAAAAAATGAATTAATAAATCAAAAAAAGAGTGTACGGCAGTCCATTAGTAAGTAGGTGGTAATGACAAGGAGTTAGGATGTAATGCGTGACACTTCCGAAGAATTGCTCAAAAGAGTTACATTAATTATTTGCTGCATAAATAATATAAACACATTCTAGTTAACTTCAGCCACATTACTAGCTTGCATATTGTTTACAAAAACTGGTTGAAAGGAATAACGAGTTCAGCTCTTGTTTGAAGAGGTAATACTTTTACTGTAACGGCCAGGAATATGCTTCTTTGACATGTGACTGTAGTATAATATTCAAATATCGATTAGTAACTAACAGTCTGTGTATCAAATTATCAGTTTAATTCAGAACTCCACCCTTAATTTACATTTAAAGCAAGGTTAAATATCAACTAGCTATTCACGCTAAATGAAGTGTAATGTACTTCATTCATATACACCATAATGACACAGCATCATATACAGTTTGTGTAATGTACATCACACATTCTAAGAACTGTATCTTAATTTAGTGTTTACAAATAATGTCAAAACGGGGTCCATAAATTTTCGACAGTGTTCAGTGATTTTCTAGCCCTTGCCTAGTCGGTCAGTTACTCGAAATTTCAGTTGATGTCTGAACCACTCGTTTAAGGCCCCATCCACATGTTCGTGCAGTGCAGGTGAGTATGGGTAGAGGAGTTTCCCTGTAGATGGAGTTACTAGTGTATGCACAAAAACTGATAAAATACTCATGTTAGATATTGCCTGAAATCCCCAGACAAGGCATGGTAGTATGATTATTTATTTTGCATTAAATTTTCATGTTTGTAATTGCCTTTCATTTATTATAACCCTACCTTCTGTACCTACTGTATTCATCACAATAATGCTATCATCACGAGTACTTCAATTACATAGACTAACTAGGAATAAACATTCAAAGAATCTTTTATCCTAAGAGCACAAAAACTAAAGAGGAGAAATAGTTTTCCCATACATAATTTTATTACAGACCTAAATAACAAGTTTAATTTGATAGTGCTTTATACAGATATAAAACTATATCAGATACGTCCCTTATTTAAGCTTTCTCTAAACACACACACAAAAGAAAACAAAATCTCTTTCTATATCTGTCTATCCCAGGGACCACTTGGAATTCATGCAATCATGGATTCTCTTAGGAAGGTTTAGGGTGTTCTTAACCCCTTGGTGCCGGGTATGACGTGTACGTACGTGCTATGCCCACAGTGAGTACTTGTTTGATTGTTTTTACGCATAGATGGCAACACTTGTACTAACTCCCCAATGAGCCAGTTACGAGCACCGCCCATCTCGCCCGTTTACCTGTTTCTTTGATTTACAAAATATTTTACGTAATCTTATTTTGCTGTTACTAACGTAAAAAAAAATTATAAAAATTATAATGTTTATGATAAAAATAACACCATTGATTTTCATAGAACTAGTGAAAAATACGTTTTTCCCGCCATTTAAATCAGGCGCTAGCAGAGCCATCTATCGGCAGACATTTCACGAAAAACATTGAAAGTGGGCACAATATTTTCCCATTTTTTGTTCACTTTCCCCGGCACCATTGGGTTAATGGCTTTCTCAGTATTTTGTGGGTTTGTTGAAGTCTGACATTCTGTCTTAAATTTTCCACCCAATCAGCAATCTGACTTACTGGGAGCTCTGTTCTTCTAAGACCCATGGATTTTTTAATTATAGTTAACACAATTGTAAGAGGGTATTAGCATGCTGACATCATCATGTTGGGGTCAAAGTTGGGGCACAAAAGAACTGGCCACCCTACCACTTCATCCCACAGCTTAATATGGACGCACCTTTCGTCCACTTGGATATGGTACTAAACTAAGTTTTAGTAGGCTTGCAAAAAAGTCAGGTAATTTTTTTTCTTTCTTGCAGATCAGGTGATCAGTGCCTCTACTAATTGTAAATAATCTGTACTTGTTGCTTCCACTCTCTCTAACCTGTCTTTCTTTACCATCTTTCCTCCATTTCTACATACTATGAAGAATCATGAATTATCATGATGTAAAAAATACAATATGTTTATAACATTTTATCTCAATATATGCCCAAAGGATGAGAAGTTACCCATAAATTTATATTTTGTGTACCATTAGTTGACTACGACACTTTCCCAACTTAAAAAAACATAGCATGCGTTGCTTAGTTCTTATTTCTCTGAATGCTGAACTACAATAAACTTTGGTAACATACCGTCACACTCTTGGAGTAGAGGCCACTATAGCATCATCCATTTACACTTGTCTTATGACAGTGTGATTGTGATTGTGATTGTGATTGTGATTGTGATTGTGATTGTGATTGTGATTGTGATTGTGATTGTGATTGTGATTGTGATTGTGATTGTGATTGTGATTGTGATTGTGATTGTGATTGTGATTGTGATTGTGATTGTGATTGTGATTGTGATTGTGATTGTGATTGTGATTGTGATTGTGATTGTGATTGTGATTGTGATTGTGATTGTGATTGTGATTGTGATTGTGATTGTGATTGTGATTGTGATTGTGATTGTGATTGTGATTGTGATTGTGATTGTGATTGTGATTGTGATTGTGATTGTGATTGTGATTGTGATTGTGATTGTGATTGTGATTGTGATTGTGATTGTGATTGTGATTGTGATTGTGATTGTGATTGTGATTGTGATTGTGATTGTGATTGTGATTGTGATTGTGATTGTGATTGTGATTGTGATTGTGATTGTGATTGTGATTGTGATTGTGATTGTGATTGTGATTGTGATTGTGATTGTGATTGTGATTGTGATTGTGATTGTGATTGTGATTGTGATTGTGATTGTGATTGTGATTGTGATTGTGATTGTGATTGTGATTGTGATTGTGATTGTGATTGTGATTGTGATTGTGATTGTGATTGTGATTGTGATTGTGATTGTGATTGTGATTGTGATTGTGATTGTGATTGTGATTGTGATTGTGATTGTGATTGTGATTGTGATTGTGATTGTGATTGTGATTGTGATTGTGATTGTGATTGTGATTGTGATTGTGATTGTGATTGTGATTGTGATTGTGATTGTGATTGTGATTGTGATTGTGATTGTGATTGTGATTGTGATTGTGATTGTGATTGTGATTGTGATTGTGATTGTGATTGTGATTGTGATTGTGATTGTGATTGTGATTGTGATTGTGATTGTGATTGTGATTGTGATTGTGATTGTGATTGTGATTGTGATTGTGATTGTGATTGTGATTGTGATTGTGATTGTGATTGTGATTGTGATTGTGATTGTGATTGTGATTGTGATTGTGATTGTGATTGTGATTGTGATTGTGATTGTGATTGTGATTGTGATTGTGATTGTGATTGTGATTGTGATTGTGATTGTGATTGTGATTGTGATTGTGATTGTGATTGTGATAGTGATTGTGATTGTGATTGTGATTGTGATTGTGATTGTGATTGTGATTGTGATTGTGATTGTGATTGTGATTGTGATTGTGATTGTGATTGTGATTGTGATTGTGATTGTGATTGTGATTGTGATTGTGATTGTGATTGTGATTGTGATTGTGATTGTGATTGTGATTGTGATTGTGATTGTGATTGTGATTGTGATTGTGATTGTGATTGTGATTGTGATTGTGATTGTGATTGTGATTGTGATTGTGATTGTGATTGTGATTGTGATTGTGATTGTGATTGTGATTGTGATTGTGATTGTGATTGTGATTGTGATTGTGATTGTGATTGTGATTGTGATTGTGATTGTGATTGTGATTGTGATTGTGATTGTGATTGTGATTGTGATTGTGATTGTGATTGTGATTGTGATTGTGATTGTGATTGTGATTGTGATTGTGATTGTGATTGTGATTGTGATTGTGATTGTGATTGTGATTGTGATTGTGATTGTGATTGTGATTGTGATTGTGATTGTGATTGTGATTGTGATTGTGATTGTGATTGTGATTGTGATTGTGATTGTGATTGTGATTGTGATTGTGATTGTGATTGTGATTGTGATTGTGATTGTGATTGTGATTGTGATTGTGATTGTGATTGTGATTGTGATTGTGATTGTGATTGTGATTGTGATTGTGATTGTGATTGTGATTGTGATTGTGATTGTGATTGTGATTGTGATTGTGATTGTGATTGTGATTGTGATTGTGATTGTGATTGTGATTGTGATTGTGATTGTGATTGTGATTGTGATTGTGATTGTGATTGTGATTGTGATTGTGATTGTGATTGTGATTGTGATTGTGATTGTGATTGTGATTGTGATTGTGATTGTGATTGTGATTGTGATTGTGATTGTGATTGTGATTGTGATTGTGATTGTGATTGTGATTGTGATTGTGATTGTGATTGTGATTGTGATTGTGATTGTGATTGTGATTGTGATTGTGATTGTGATTGTGATTGTGATTGTGATTGTGATTGTGATTGTGATTGTGATTGTGATTGTGATTGTGATTGTGATTGTGATTGTGATTGTGATTGTGATTGTGATTGTGATTGTGATTGTGATTGTGATTGTGATTGTGATTGTGATTGTGATTGAGAGTGAGAGAGAGAGAGAGAGTGTGTGTGTGTGTGTGGTGTGTGTGTGTGTGTGTGTGTGTGTGTGTGTGGTGTGTGTGTGTGTGTGTGTGTGTTGTGTGTGTGTGTGTGTGTGTGCCGTCACACTCTTGGAGTAGAGGCCACTATAGCATCATCCATTTACACTTGTCTTATGACAGTACTCTTGGGTTATTTATCCTCCTTTTTGATACAAAAAATA